ATTTGCTTGGTAACAGCCCAAATGACTTATAATATGAATTGACTGATTCAAGTTAAGAATCTGACTGAAAAGATGATGCACACTTTTAGAAAAAATGGCTTTATAAAGGTAAAAATGCCCATAAAAGGTAAAAATCAATTTAAACTTATTGGAAAAGATGAATTTCTATCACTGTTGTGAACTGATCACCACACAGAATATGCAGAATATCAAAAACTTTAGAAGTCAGCTGTCTACGGTAGTCCTTATCAACCTTATCCTTATCAAATATCAGCACAATAACACACTCAGCAAAATGTTGTCTAATTATCGTTATCGATAAAATCCCAGAAAATATCGATATATATTTTTGTTAATATCGCACAGTCTAGTAGTTATATTTAACGTTTTGTTTAGGAAAAAATTAAAATAAATATGAGAAGTGCCCTTTTTTCCACTTGAGCTCCTGCCCCTCAAAATGTCTGTGCACGTCCCTGATAATGAGCAAATGATCACACACACAATCCTGAGACACTTCATCACTAACCTTCACTTCACTTTCTGGCAAATTGTTTTTGATAATATTAGAAGAGGGCTCCAACTCTTTCACATCCATTTACTGTAGTTACAAAGTTACTTACTGTTAATAGAATGTCTAAAGTGGACTATCGAAATAAAGTGTAACCCTAATATCATTACACTTTTGCTTAATCAACATGTTTAAATCAGCCTAATTAAATCTTAAGTAATGATTTGAAGTCAATACATTAACTGAATTTGTTTGCTTTAGAAGTAAATGAATTAGATCTGACGTCTGATCTGTGCAGCACTCACCTTCATGACGGGTTGAGCAAAGTATTTGGCACTCCAGTCACAAAGACCCGTCTGCAGACTCACACTGATGAAGCTCCTGTGAGCGGCGGCCTCATCTCCATCCTCAGCAGTCTGAGAAATACACAGACAAATGACAACATGCAACTGAATTGCCAAAGGTTCTTACATGAAAACTAAAAAAAAAAAACAGCATGACATTAACATTAATCATTGAATTTAGTTTGAAATAAGTCTTATGCACATCAGGACTGCATTTATCTGTAAAAACAATAATATTGTGAATCATTATTACAATATAAAATAACCTATTTTACTATATACTTAAAAAGGTAATTTATTCCTGTGATGGCAAAGCAGAATTTTCAGCAGTCATTATTCCAATCTTCAGTCACACGCTCCTTCAAAAATCATTCTAATATGCTCAAGCAACATCTCTTATTATTATAAATGTTCAAACAGTGAATAATTATCGAGTAACATTTAACTTACTATTATACATATTTTATGGAAACGGTTACTTTTTTTCAGGATTCTTTGATAAAAAAAAACAAGTTTAAAAGAACAGCATTTATTTAAAATGGAAATGAATGGAATTTAATTCATCCTTGCTATATAAAAGTATACATTTATATATAAAAACACATAAGTGACAATATATAACTGAATCACCAAATAAACCCTGACAGGGTGATTAGGTCTTGTACAATGACCTTCTGACTGTGCTTTATTCTGCTTTTTATGCAACTGTTTATATGAACATTCAGTTAAAGTCAGTTCATTGTTGATTTAGTGATGTCATCATCCAGCTCAGTTCAGTTATTTTCAATTATATGAATATGAAATAATAATTTCATTTGAAATGATTTTATTATTCGTTATTTTTAGGTTTTTTTTTTTACATCATTTAAATTATTTTTTATTTTTATTATTTTTTATATTTATTTTTATTTATATATTGTTCATCCATAGTCCTCATTTTCTCTCATCCAGCTCTTTATGTGTCTTACGGGTTTCTTGTACATCAGAGAGAAATTTTCCTTCTTTAACTGGAGACTACCGAGGTTCTAGCCATCTAACAAAGGTTTTATGCTCTACAGTCGTAAATTCAAGACATAAATTTTGTGTTTTTGCAAAGTTTGCATCTTAAGCTGTTGTGGTGTTCATTCACAATGTTTCTAGATTATTGTTTAGAGTGATCAGATGCATTTTAAATAATTGCTAAAAGCTTCATTGGCCAAAAAAATTTACTTTTCACAAAAAAAAAACAAAAAAAAGGTTTTTTGATCCTGACGCAAAATGCCCAGCTAACATTAATTGACTAATCATATCAGCAGCACATGTGAAAGTGTGAATGAGTAGGGTACAACGGGGCTAAAGGCGCCCCGGGGTAAAAGGCGCCTTTGATATTATTTTTATCTAAACCACTAGATGGCACAAAAACGTGGCGTTGTACTTTCCAAAACATTCGCTTTTCAAGATGCACGTGTATATTTGTCTGATTCTTGACGCGATCGTGCGCAACAGTGCAAAGTTGATTCTGTGCTTGATCAAATATTTTATGTTGTAGATTTAAGTAGCAAGTGAGAATCGCTAAAATTAATGCATATATTTTGAGACAAAGGTCTTTATGATTTTCAGTTTTGTTTAAGATAATTAAAGCAACCGTTTTTAAATAACGAAATAATATAAAAATTAACTTTTCACAAAAAACACATTTCACTGTTTTTTGATCCTGACACAAAATGACCAGCTAACATTAATTGACTAATCATATCAGCAGCACATGTGAAAGTGTGAATGAGTACTAGTCAGGTGAAATCACTATTATACTAATTAGATTGTAAGAGCAGACTGATTGCTAAAAAGGAGGGAAGAAGCGCTTCCAATCATTGTGTTCTTGTTAGCAATGGTTACCTCCAAAGAAACACGTGCAGCCATCATTGCTTTGCATCAAAATGGCCTCACATGCAAGGAAATTGCTACAAAGAATATTGCACCTGAAAGAACCACCGGATCATCAAGAACTTCAAGGAGAGAGGTTCGACTGCAGTGAAGAAGTCACAGTACAGCTGGTTGTGGATAGATCTGTGGGAAACCAATATCACTGTTTTACCTGATCAGGGCCCTTGTCAAACATCTTCCTGATGCGTGGGAACTGCTGTGAGTGGGGCGCCTGACCACCCAGCGTTGGTGTGTATGGTAGACGAGAGGGCGGCCCCTCTCGGACCGGCGGTTTGGGCACTTCATTGGTGAGGCTGGAGCTGGAGGCACCAGGCATAGGTGGAGATCCGCTGGAGGGAGATGAAGAGCGTTTGGATCTGTGGGAAGCACTACAACACCAACAAGCATGGCCATAACACACAGATTAATGCGCTGCAAAAGAACAGGGCCAGCATGCATTGCAATGCTGCATGTTAAAACAAAATCAACAGCAATAGCCAAGCATAGCCAATAAACATATTCCAAAAGGAGCAGGATGCTGTTTAATAAATGCAAAGGAGAGTAAAATAAGAGAAATGCACAAGCTATTACATTCTGCTTTGTCACCTGTTATTTAAAAAAAAAAATCATTCCAGGTTACTATACGGTCCTGACGCTGATTTTAAGCAAATTAAATACATATTTAAGTATTTATAACTCACCCTGCTTGATGTATGAGTGTTCCTTTGCTGGTGGGGCTGGCAGGTGCTGATTGGGTCAGAGATCCTGAGTCCAGAATCCTCTGTGTACGAGCGTTCATGGTGGCCTGATGTGAGAAGCAGTGGCAGAAGGCAGATGCATTACAAAAATGTAAAAGTCTAAAACTGTGCATCACATAGCCCTGCACTGCAAAAAATGCTTTTCAAGCTTAGATTTTTTGTCTTGTTTCCAGCCAAAATATCTAAAAATTCTTAAATAAAGAAGGATTTTCTAGACAAGTAAAAATTATTGTCTTGTTTTCAGAAAAACAAGTCGAATTTAAGAAACAAGCAAAATAATCTGCCAATGGGGTAAACAAAATAATCTTATTTCAAACAGAAAACAAGATTATTTTGCTTACCCCATTGGCAGATTATTTTGCTTGTTTCAAGCAAAAACTCACTTAATTTTGACTTGTTTTTTTCTGAAAACAAGACAATAATTTTTACTTGTCTAGAAAATCCTTCTTGATTTAAGAATTTTTAGATATTTTGGCTGGAAACAAGACAAAAAATCTAAGCTTGAAAAGCATTTTTTTGCAGTGCAAGTACACCAAAAGCAGCAAAAATTCAAGGAAAACCTACATTAACAGTCTAAATTTATGATCTACTGTACCTGTACAACAGTGACTACTGTGCCATTTAAAAGTTGTGTATCTAAGTGCTAGAAGAAAAAAAAACTTTCTGGTGGCCCCGTAGTATTTTAAGTAAAATGTAGTAAAAGTTAATGTGTGCAAATATAGAGAATGCATCTCTGTTTGAGCTGCAATCCTAGAGACAAAAGTAACAGCAAAACTCTTCCTCATAACTATAATCACAGCCTAAAATGGTAAAAATCTGAAAATGTGCTGTTTATAAAAACAGAGCAAGTTGACTTATCTGCTTCATCTAAATCTAGTTAACAATCCCATCCTCTCACTGCCATCTGGAGAGATGGTCTAATCTGATTTATATGCTAAAACCTGCTGGGAAGCGAAAGAGAGGTAGATTCATCATGATTGAGTAGACGGAAATAAAGTTATTCTGTGTTTGGGCTGCAGATCAAACATTAAAATGACTGTGTTTGTCTCCCACAGATTCATTAAGTTAGAAAAGAAAATAGATATGAATATTGAAAAGATATGATATGGATTATTGAAATGTAAACAATAATCAGTGATAGGGACAGGAGGAGAGAGAAAAAAATATTTATAAGACCAAATAAATCGGATATAAATAAATACATTTATGTTCTTAGTTACAACCCCCATAAAAGAGAGACACTAGCTATGTTCCAAAATCTAGCGATTTGCCTTGCTATAAGACTAAGTGTCCACTGACATTAAGCACCGCAGTGGCTTGAGGGTGTCTACACTAAAAGTGTCAAAGCAATCTTCCATATGTTCTGTAGTTTAAGTCCTTAAGGCTTTAACATAGTTTGCTGCTACTATGTTGATAAGCTAGCAGCATGATACTTTAAAAATCACAAATGCTTCACACATTAAAAATATTAGTTATAATAATTTGTTTTATTACACATTTTAAAATATTTTTATTATTAAATTAAGGGCAAATGCATTTCCACTTGATTTTTTTTTTTCTCACCTAGCTTGTCACAGAGCATTTTGATAATTAAGATGCTTACCTTTTAGAAAAGCCATGCATCATCATGAGCATATACTGTATGATGCCCTAAAATTATACTTCTTATTTAACGTAGTTTGCACAAACACATAATTTCATAGTTTGCTGCTATGTTTTCCTCTAAATCCAAATCTGTTGTATTATTTAAATCCAAGATCTAATCTAGAAGGATAAAAGCAGAGGCATCACAATGGCACGGGGGTGGAGCACCATTAAACAACACTATACTTGCACACCGTTAATAATTTATGAAAAACAAAATATAAGCTCATCTTATCCGATTCTCATGTGAGATTGAGTTTATATATACTTGAAAAAAAATCACTGAAGTGCTTATGAAGCTGGTACTCCAAAAAAAAAAAAAAAAACTTTAAAAGTCTGCTTCAAAAACGAAATTCCATTGTTAGTTATTTGGCTGCAATCAGGCTCAAACTGATGTAGACATGATGCAAGCAGACCTGAGAAAACAAGCAAGAATGTCTGATACTCTGTCAGAGGATTTTGGGAACTCCGACTACCCCTCCTCAGTTTGAACTCTGTAACAGGGGATTGTAACAACACTCAAGCTTCAACTTAAAAACATAACTCAGTATGGTGTATGAAAAGAAGATTTTTAGTAATGCGAAAAAGCTAATCAGTCTGCAGTAACTGTGTGTTTCCCAAAGTCTCTGCATCTTGCTTATGCTAGATGATGTCAAATTGAGAGTAATGTGATGACAAATATATTAATTAGTGAAGCCTCACAGACCTCTGAGAACCACATAGAAAGCCACTTCTAAGTAACTTCTACGTGTTGCTTTAGGCAAAATCATGAACATGGATTCGAAAAAGTAAATTCAGCTAAATTTATATGAACTTACATGAACTCAAATGAACAGAAAACCAAAATCAAAAACCAAAAAATGTGGCCATGTAAAGCTTGCCACTGTTTTAAGTAAGCAGTTAAGCTGAACTTCTGGAAACCCTTGAGCAATGTAATTTTGAGGAAGCGCTTTGACAATGTAGTTCGCCAAGCTACTAGCTAGTCATAATTTGAAGCAGTTAAAGATACTCTTTTGAGCAAAGAATTTGTTATCAAGACACCCAGGGAAAAAAAGCAAACAACAGTAAATTGAAGATCTGCTAGCTTAGTACAAAGCATTGCAAATTACGATCAGAATGGTACAATATCAAATTTCTGATTTATATTCACTGGTATAAAAACAAGCCTCAAATTTACAAATTTATACTGAAAGAAAATATTGAAAAGATCCTATACATAGCAATGAACAGAAAATTACCAAAATATTCATGTGAATCTTTTCATTTACATTCTGAACAAACCAATAATTAATTCGACTTACCAACGAAACATATGGGAGAGGGACGAAACAACTGACTAGAATGAATGTTCCCTCAGCATTCTTAATAGTAAAGCTACATAGAAAACAATGTGAATTAAAAAAAAATTATATACTGCTTGATGTTGGTGAATTGTTACTGGACAAGCTGCAATATTAAGAAAACAGCAACTGAAAATGCAGTGTCTCTAGTTTTATCTAGTGGATAGGGATAGGGATAGGGATGTGAGTAGGGACTCGTCGGCCATATATGAGGAGTCTGAGAGGAAGCAGGGTACTGACACAGCTTGCACAGCAGATACTCAGACACAGAAGTCAGTGGTGGTGGTTGTTAGCTTCTTAACTTACAGGTGCCTCTCAGAGCGGCTGCTCATATTACCAGGCCACAGGGAGCCATTTCTTTTTAATTGCATTTGCTTAATAATAACAAACAGGGCTGAATGTGGAAAGTTTAATAGTAGGACGTATAAGGCTCAGATGTAATATGTGGGCTTGTGTATGTGTGGACACATGTTAGACACATAAGTGCATGATTTCTGGATTCTTACAAAAAAAGTACTGTGGCAGTATGGAATTGAAAGGTATCAGATGGTAATAAAGATTTATGATTAGAGCTAAAATTGCCTCCTTGATCCATTTCATTGCATTCATCCACTTTCATTACATGGAAGAGAGAAGTGTGAACATTCTTAAAAACACAGTGGGTCCTATTTACTAATAATTGCATAGATTATGTGTATTCATACGCACATTCGAACTTCTCAAGAAAACTTTCTGCCTAATTCACAACATGCGCGTAAGCACATTAATTTTTCTTAACCTTGTTCTAATGTTAGTGAATTTGGAGTATTCTAAATAAGCAGCCGTGAGCACGAGGTGAGTCTTTTTTATAAAACACACCCAAACCATCTCTATATAACGGCATTCCACACAACCTTTCCTTGACAGTTTTTTGAAACTCTCGTCAAAAATATGCCGCTCTCTACAGACATGCTCTTGCCAGATCCTTGTGCACTGCCAAGTGTGCCATACTCAAAACTAGTTCAAACACAATAAACACCTTAAGCACTTTTTCCTACCCAATTTCTTCCTACCAGTCAACTTTTAATTTAATATGCTTTGATACAGCACTCTGTGAACAGCCACCTCTTTCAGTAATGACCTTCTGTGACTTACCCTCTTTGTGGAGGGTGTCAATGATTGTCTTCTGGACCATTGCCAAGTCAGCAGTCTTCCCCATTATTGTGGATTCAAAGAACAAGAGATACCCGAAATTTACACTGTAGGGATTGTCATTTAATGAAACTCAAATGTAAATATTCTAATATTTTGAGATACTGGATTTTTGACTTTCATGAGCTGTAAGCTCAAATCACCAAAATTAAAACAAATTTTTTTTAAAATGTTTTACTTTACATTTAATGAATCTAGAATATATGAAAGTTTCACTTTTTGAAATAAGTTACAAAAAATGAACTTTTTCCACGATATTCAAATTTTTTTAGATGCACCTATACAAATATATAGATATAAGAAGAAACAGCAGATAAATATGTGAGCACAGTGAAATGGGGCAGATGTAATTAGGCTCCCAGGAATGTCTGTACCTTGTATGCAATGCTGTTGAGAACCTTCATGGCCAGATCAGAGACATCTGGAAATGGATCAGCTGCAAGATGCAGTAGCACCCTCCAAATCTGAGTATATACACTGTTAAAAGACACTCCTGAAAAGATAAATCACATTTCAACACATTTTGTTAGTTTCATTAAAAAAAAAAAAAAAAAGGGAATGATGCATTCAGATCCTTCCTAAGACATTCTTTTTTAAAAAGGTACTGCTGAGGTACCTTGATACAGTGACACTATCAAAATACAGGGCTACTTTTATATGGTATTGAATGATTAACATTTTCATATACAATGACAATTAAATCATACTTACAAGAATATTATGGTATCATCATGAAAAACACAATCACAAAACAAAGCAATATTATGGTACTTTACAGCAGTATCAATAAGAATTTTGCAGGGAATAAACAAATACTAAAGCATTCTCTCTTTTATTCAGTCACACCAGTTTTTACAGGACAGTTTAAGGTCAGTTGTTTATGATTTTGTCAATATGTCCAATAAAAGAAACAGATGAAACTGAATATCCAGTACAGTCATTAAGGTCACTAATTACTTCACCTCCTTGTTCCAATAAAAACAGGACTATCGATTTACACAATAGAAATAAGCAGATCTAATCCATCTTTCATTAGAAGCGGTCATTACTGTTATCAGGATGTCATTGACTGGTCTGGAAATTATGTGATTTCAGAAGCAGGAAACAGCTGTGGGAACACGTTGATTTCAATCTGACATTTTCTCTCCTGTCCCTGGAGTGAACTGGCAACCGCAGCTGACATTATCATTTTTTTGTTTTGTTTTTTTTCCCCTCCCAATTCTCGTGCATTTTCATTCCGTCATCATCTGCAGAATGCCACCCCCCATTTCTGTCACTATAGTTCATCCTGCTCTGCACCATTCAGGCGAACAAGACACATTTCTTCAATTACGTAGTGGTGCCATTCTCACCTCATCATGAGACTGGGTGCAATTGCCATCTGTGCGTGTGTGTTACCGTCAACATCCTATCCACTGGACGAGTGTGCCTGTGCTGGAGTGTGTATAAGTGTGTGTGAACATCAAGAGCCCACCAGTCAGATGAGCGTATTTGTGATGCAGAAAGAGTGTGTGCATTCCCTGTGGTGCTGCGTGAGAGTGGAGCCCCTCATCATTGGCATGCACATTGTGTCTGCCAATGCACGCACAATCCAAAGCACTTCATGAACACACTCTCCAGAGACACCTCCTCCAACTTGCTCTCTCTTCGTGCACTTTTCTTTATTCACACAAAAACAGCAGGTATGGAGAGCAGATGTACATTGATCTGAAAGCTAATAAACAGTTTTCTGACCCTCACTCTAATAGCCACTTCACCTAAATGCTGATCTTAAGCCATTTCACCTGAAATTAGTAGTAACCTTTGATGGACCAAAAACAAACTAATTTAAATTTTGCAGCTAAGAGAAATCAATAACCGTTGAATAATCAGCAGTTAAAGTATAATATGGGAAAAGGCGGGGCTCTAGCATACTCCTTTATTTTTATTGGCCGATGTAAACAGAGCCATAATTCTCCACAGATGGTCATGAAATATTCAGCAGGACTGCAGTGGTGTGCTGTCAAAACCTGCCACAGTTTCAGAAAGCACTAAGAAATGGACCCATTAGGAAGTTAGAGGTTTATAACACTGACAAAATATTTCACTAACCATAGCAGATCAGTGTATTATGATATTATTCCAGTGCTTAACATACTTCTCTAGGGAACGTTAAAAGCTCTCGCTCATATTCCATGCATCAGCACTGGAGAAATGTGGATATGAGCAAAAAGATACAAGTAGACTATTGACCATTAAATTCCAAGTTGGAATTTACAAGATCAGGCCAGTGTAATGATCTGTATAAAGGCTGTAACTGCTTAAACATTCACCAGTTGCTTCGAATGAACTACATGATGTGCTGATTGATTAATTAAAGTAGACACAATAAATTGCATATCAATATTTACTCAAAAAATCCCAATCATTAGAGGACGACTGAATAAAGTGATGAATAAACATTACAAAAACTTTTAGAAGATTTTGGATGAATGAATAAATAAATAAATTTAAATAAATAAACAAATAAATACTTAAACACAAAAATGTTCCATGACTCATCCAGTCATCCATGATCACAATTTTGCTTTATAAAAATTCCCATTTTAAACTATAAAAATGATAAAAATTGGAAACAAGTTTGTTTAAATACATTCAGTTTCATCAAAAATGTGACCCTGGACCACAAAACCAGTCTTATGTTGCACAGGTATATTTATAGCAATAGCCAAAAATATTGTATGGGTCAAAATTAAAATAATATTGTATTGTATCGGTCAAAATGATCAATTTTCTTTTATTATGCTCATCAAGGCTGTATCTATTTGATTAAAAATACAGAAAAATATTTGGTAAAATATTACTGCAATTTAAAATAACAGTTTTTTATTTTAATATACTTTAAAATATAATTTATTCCTGTGAAGCATGAATTTTCAATCCTTCAGAAATCATTCTAATATGCTGATATATAATCAGTGTTGGAAACAGTTGTGCTGCTTAATATTTTTTGGAACATGTGATTTTACTTTTTATACATCAAAAAATCAGAGAAAAAAGTATCCAAATAGTTGTATCTCGGCCAAATATTGTCCTGTCCTAACAAACCATACATCAATGGAAAGCTTATTTATTCAGCTTTCAGACCAGAGCTTTTGTGGTCCAGGGTCACAAATACTAACATACAACTTATCCAATATAAAGTAATACATAGAACACACCTAACCCAAAACGAATAGTTTAAAATGGGAATGACAGATTCAAACAAATGTGTGCACTGCAATCTCAATATACAAGATGAAGTCCATATGCTCTCTGGTTGTGCACCCTGGTTACTATAGGCTAAATTTTGGAAAGAAGTCACTGCAAAACTGTCTACTGTCCCTCCCTACTTCTGTCTCTATATCACCAAGAAAACAATTCTGGCCAACTGGAAAAATAAAATATCCACTACACAATGGCTACAGGTACTATCAGTCCATAAAAAGGAACACAGATGGTGATTTTCAAACACAAATTACCTCAATTTAAACAAATATTTAGCACCATTGCTTGTGTAAATGATAAATGAATGTGTGTGTGCGAATATATATATATATATATATATATATATATACACACACACACTGCCATTAAAAAGTTTGGTATCAGTTAAAGATTATAAAGATTTTTAATGTTTTTTTTATTTTAATATACTTTAAAATATAATTTATTCCTGTGAAGCAACGCTGAATTTTCAGCATCATGACTCCAAGTCTTCAGTGTGACATGATCCTTCAGAAATCTTCAGAAAGTTTGGGGTCAGCAATTTCTTTCTTTCTTTCTCTCTTTCTTTCTTTCTCTTTTTTAAAATAAATTAATACTTTTATTCAGCAAGGATGTGTTAATTGGATAAAAAGTGATAGTAAAGAAAATATTTCTATTTTGAATAAATGCTGTTCTTTTTAACTTTTTATTCATCAAAGAATCAAAGAAAAAAGTATCACAGGTTCCAAAAAATAAAATAAAAATAAAATTAATCACCACAACAATTTCAACACTGATAATAAATCAGCATATTTCTGAAGGATTATGTGACACTGAAGTCTGGAGTAATGGGCTGATGAAAATTCAGTGCTGTGTAATAGCCAAAATATTTGACCTTTTATATGTTGTTTTCAAATACTCTGCAACTTCACTTTAAGCAAACACCTGCTATAAAAGACGCCACGAATCAACCAGTAACCGTGTAAACTAAAGGTGCTTTGAACTCTGGACTCTGCTGTGTTCGCACTTAGTTTCCTCCATTGCCTGGCTACTGATTTCTGTATGCAAAGCACAGTCACTCCTGGAGGTTAAATAAGGACTGTAGAAACAGCTTCATACTTTAAATGAATTAGTAACAGATTATATAAAACCGAAGAGGGGATAAGGAGGAGGATATAAGGAAAGGATGGGTTGACAGGAGGTCAGAGGAGAAATATGAAATGAAGAGGTTTTGTAAGGTGCTGGTGTAGATTCTGCACTGATGTTACTCAGAGGTGTGAGGGGATGACGACTTAAAAAGGAGAATATGAACAGCATTCAGTACATGTAAAACTGTATCAGTTTACATAAAAATGTAAATTCAGCCATCATTTCTTCATCCTCTGGCTGTTCCTTTTCCATGAATTCACAGAGAAAACAGTTTTATTCAAAGCAACTCTGACAAAATATGCAACAGCAATTAAACAAAAGAGAACAAAAGGAGTATTACCATACCAAACCTCTGTGAGTAAACCTGTATGTTTTTCTCTTACATGCAAAAAAGAAAGAAGAACTTTTGCTAAATGCACAAGCTGCTATTTTATAATATCATATACAAATTAATGACACTGATGAACTGTCAGATTCACACCAACGACAACCGGCAAAATCATATGTTTTAGAACATATTTTAGAATATGCTTTTAGGGGTTTTCAAAGTCAAAGACAGCGGGCTTCCCTTTTGACACAAAGTAGTAGCAACCTCCCCCCTGAATTCTGACAACTAAATACAGTGAAGTGTGTTCCTAATCTATGACTCACTGCAATCATCTTTGATCCTTGAATGTAATAGTCATCCCTCAAACGGGGGGGGGGTGAGTTCTCAATAGTTGTGGATGTAAACATATTATACTGTAAAGAAGGCATCAAAACAGCCTTCTGGCAGTTTGCTTTAAATATGGGTTAATGTGACATGGAAAGTGTGTCAGGAGTTGTGGTTGCATATCTATTATGGGCCTGCAGTATGTGCAGTTCATGTTGACCTGTTAAAATCAGCCATCAGGTCAAAATTATAGTGAGATTAATAAAATATAGATGAAGAGTGTTATCAAAAGTGGTGTGTCCAGGGCTTAAAATGAACACTTGCCAAGCACCAAATGGGATAATAATAAAAAACAGCTTCAGTGCAGTGGCATAAGTTTGTATTAAAATGTGTCGGGGACTAGGTTGTGTGTGTGTGTGTGTGTGGGGGGGGTTGCTGTGAAGTTGTCATGGCAATGATATACATTGCCGGTTGATTTCCCTTTACTGGATGCACTATAAATGTCGCAAGAAGCAGTAAATATATATGCATAAATTAATTTGTACAGAACATCATCAGACTTCTCTGGATCAGTTCCCACTCATTTGTGTGCGTATTTCTCCGTGCAATGTACAGTACAGTAGCCGCACAACACCACCAGCACGAGTGGCAGCAGTGCAGTATCCTCTCTTTTACTTTGTGATATAAGCCTCCAACATGCCTATTTTTTTTTAAATGGTTTCAAAAAGTGATTATTATGCTACACTATACTATACTATATTTCAGATTATTATACATTTAAAGAGGTGTGCATTATGCCACTAAATAAATACAACGATAGAAAATGTGGATTACATGGGAAAATTATTACAGTGTTTCTCAATCGATTTGACACATTTCTCCAAACTCAGGTCACTGTTCTCAAACACAGTAATCTGAACACTTTGTAATAGTCCTAAACAGATTATAAGTTTTCATTCATTTCATACAAATTACAAATCATGCGCATAATTTTCTCAAAACACTATGCACAAAACTCTCAAATGTTTTCATAATGGTTAATACAACCAATACTTTAAAATATATTTTAAAAGCAATTGTAGCTTCTTTTATTGGTTTTACACAAATCACAAATATTTATGTACCATTTGTCCAAACACAACAAACTAAATTCTGTCATTTGTCATTCTATCAAATGAACATGGTGTATTTTATCTAAACTGATAACTACTCAGTTAATCATAAACTCAACACAGGAAATGCAGCTTTCCTAATCATTAAGACATTTATCACAATTGCTTTAGATTAATAATAAAAGGGAAAGTATACAAAGAGCACAAAAGAATATGCAATAAATAAAGAAAGAAAGAAAGAAAGAGGTCTAAGTCTATAAGGCGGATAGGGGAGAGAAAGGGGCGTAATGAGAGAAGAAGAAGAGTGGAACAGGTAGAAAGAGATGAGCAGAGAGGAGGATGTGAGAAAAGAGGAGAGGAGAAGGAAAGGGAGAAGGGATGATTAGAGAAGAGGGCATTGGTCTAGTGGAAAGAGCAAGAGGAGAAACTGTAAGAAGACATGGACAGAGAAGACGTGGACAACAGGTTGGAAGAAGAGGTAGAAGGTGCAGATGTAAAAAAAATCATGGCCTCTCCTTTAGAGAAGCTTCAGGAAAAAGTTACTATGTCAATACACTTATAAAGTGTTGTACTATGATTGTTGATTGTTTAGATTTTTAGTCCTCCTGGGACAACTTCTGTTATTTACTGTGAATGTCCAAACATTTTTCAGAATTTAAGTTCAAGAACATTCAGGTGGACAATCAAGATTATTTTGTTGACATGGTGGTCCAGAACAACATCACCAGCCACAAAGCAAGAGGCCTGTGGAGATGTTGAGACAGGAGCTTTTCAAGCATGGATTCAATTTTAAATTTTTTTTTAATTTTTGGGTTACATTCTGCAAAGAAGAATGGGCCAAAGCTCTACAGCAACGCTGTACAAGACTGCTCTGTAGTTATCAGAAGCGTTGCTTTGCAGATTTTGTTGCTAAAGGTGGAACAACCAGATTTTAATTATCTTTATTTAATGGTATTATAGTATATGATTTTATAGTTTTACTAGTTTAATTTGTCACATGGGTGATAGGTGTTGGGTAAATGTGTATTTTAATTTGTGTATTTATGCAACTATTGATGAATATGTTTTATAATCAATAGAGAACACACCTATAGTTTTGATGTTAATATTTACTTTTAATAAACACATTATTAGAAAAAATGCAGTGCTTCATTTTGCAGTAAAGTTGGCTGTTTGATTAAAATATGCATGTGCTTAAATGGCTGTGTTAATTGTTTTGAGAGCAATTACATTGGAGAAAAGTGTCAAATCGATTGAGAAAAACTGTAATGATATAGGCCTAGCCTAGCCTAGCTTTCTAACATCCCCATGTTTAAACTAAAATAAATGTTTAATGATTGTGAGTTATATATTTTTTCTGCATGTCATTTGCAGGGCTCCATGAAGTGGTCTACACATTTTCAACATAAGCATAAAGTCAGGGACAGTTAAACTTATTAATTCCTGCAGGTTTTCATATAGAGATCTGTGTCAGTGTAAAATCAGTACAAAATCTAATTTGAAGCCAAAACCTAAAGAAAATAAGAAAATAATTTCTTACGATGCAGAATCAGAATTTGAACAGCCTCCTTGCACTATAATATACAAAATATACACCACTAGAGCATCAATCTCACAGTCAGTACCAGAACTGTGACCACATAAAAATTATTTGTATTATTGTGAAGCGAGAGAGATGAAGAGTTCTTTTCTCTTGTGTGTGTGTGGACATGCTGTAGGAAAATTCTGTGCATTTCACATCCAGTTTATTCATAGTCGAGTGGTAGAGTGTTGGTCAGCATGTCAACGACAACAATTACAGAATGTGCATGACATGTTGAAATGAATGTCATTTTATTAGTAGAATTACTAAAAGTACATTTCAAAAATGTGTATTTGTGACTAATATTAAGTAATGTGACAATATAGACATTGAGTGTAGGTATAAATATGTGTATTGAACAAGCTACCACTTTTAATGCTCCGATGCAAAGTAAACCATCTCATTTTACAGTAAAATAATTTGATTCAATGATATAAATAATACTGCACACCTGTTAAAAAGTATAAAAATCTAAAATATGTTGTAGTACTATATAGCATAGAATAAAACGTAAGCACAGGTTCATGGTCTTGACATTTACTATGCTGCTTGAATAAGTACTACTAAGTTTGCTTCTGTGAATATGAATTATTTCTTAGATTATCTGCTGACTCAACAAATCTAGGCCATTGGCAAGGCAAAGTTGACTGCTAAAAATTAATTAAATGGTGATTAAAGCACCACTTACCAGTCAAAACCTGCAAATGCATTTTGTTACATTTTTAGGTTTGGCAGTGTGTGTGGGTGAAAACATTTGAAATATAGGTATGTCTTATTATGTTCACCTAAATGGATATCACCAACTTCAAATCATTCGCCTCATTATATAATTGCTTTTGCTAGTGTTTTTCTTCTACAGAGAACTGTACCAACCAAAAATCAGAACTTCAAAGACTCTCAAAAAAAAAAAAAAAATTCATATCTCAGATAGCCTACATGGGATTACACAAGATTTGTATTTGAAAGAGAACCAGTTCTAAAGAAGAATAATTTGCTTTTTGGGTTAAAATATTTTTTTTATATGAAATTCGAATGGTATGACAATTAGAGATTAGACTGTACAGAAATGGAAATCTACACGCTACTACACACTACATACATGTAGTCACGCAATGCTGATGTTGTTAACATTAACAATTTGAGAACAATTTATAACAGTAATAATAATTTGCATGGTTTGATGTGATATGAGCTAACCGTTCGTTAGATTTAATCACCATTGGTAGCGCAATTTATTGTAGCGCAGTTGGTCAGAACAAAAGTGTCAAAAGTGTTACTTACTCATTCAGATGACAATATCTGGTAAAAATTCATATTTGGGTCATACTTCCGAGACATAGAATCTGGTATTCCGAAATACAGTGAATAGCCACACCAGTGCGGTGACTGACAGCCACACGTCAAAACATTAGATTCATCCGCACTGAGGAGCCGTGCCGGTGCACAACCCCCATAAAAAGATAATTCCACAAATAACTGCAATTGCAGGTTTCAAACAGAGATGGCGACAAAGAGGCAAAATTTACGGACTGCAGCTTTAAAGAGGCATTTGGTCTATTCAGAGAGACATTTTCAAAGAAAGCTGATGAAGGTCTTGTCTATGATTGTTGCTGAAACAGGGAGTCTTACCAATGAGAGAATTCAAGGAAGAGTACGAGCTGACTCTCCTCATCTTGTCGATGGTTTCAAAGGAGAGAAGGTATTCATCATTATCAGGGCTGCCCAAAGTACTGCTGGCACTGCTGCTGGTGCTCAGATTCCCTGGAGAGAATGCTGCTGGTCCACCTATAACACAGTGGTGGACAGTTACGGAGTAGTTTTACTTCGTTACTGTACTTAAGAAAATTTTTCAAGTATCTGTACTTTACTGGAGTAGTTTTATTTTGAGTAACTTTGCCTTTTACTTCACTACATTCCAAAGCATAAGATCATACTTTTTACTTTACTACATTTCATAAAACATATCGTTACTCCTTATAATATATCACGTGCTCTGACACGCAGAAGCGGTGTCTGATTCAAGAACAAACTGATTCTTTTCAATGAACCTTTTAAATCGGTTCACAAATCGCACCAAACGATATATTCACGAATTAAGCCCAGCTCACACTGTGCGATTTTGGCCACGATTTGGTCGTCTGAGACAAATTTTGAAAATCCTAAAAGAGTCCTATAATCCTAGGCTAAAATCTGTAGTCTTTGATCGTTAGTTTGACATGTTCACCGACAGCCGATTAATGGCCGTTGCGATCAAATTTTACCTCAGACGAACTTCTGGCATTGTCAGAAGATTTGGCGCACAGTCCTGCAGTGTGACATCTCCTACGACGAACGTCAAACTGTCTTCGTTTTTCAAGACAAGCCATGATCAGAATTAATGCTAGAGATTTCTTCTAACCGCATAAACTCCGGCGCTCCCGTCCTCCAATCACGGAATTCATCTGATATGTTGCCTTTGCTATGATAAACACCAGTTGCGCTGCTGTTTTCATGTGGGTGTGAAGTGCTGCTTGCACTATTCTGCATAAATACGCCAGTATTGCTGCCATTCATATACTTTTAATGATAGTCAACATTACAGCCCCGTGTGCAATGCAGCTCGCAGTCACCAAACGTGTATGGGTTGATAATGTAGAACTCCGGGCAAGTTTTCTTGCGCGCACCCGTTTTTAACACGTCTTGACTATCGTACAGTCTGACATTAATGACAACTGAGATCCCACAGTGTGACATGATCATCATGTTCGTACAGTCTGACAAGTACAATCCTAAAGGACTTTTAAAAAATCGCACAGTGTGAGCCCGGCTTTAGAATCTCTACGATTAGCTCAGTGAATAATTTTAAAAAACATAGACCCGGCTAGGACAAGCGGAGTGATACAAAATTGTGAAAGGCCGTTCCTATAGCGATACAGTACAATATCTCACGGTTCTCAACCAATCAGATTTGAGAATATATAAGTCTCTATGTTTTAGGTAAAAAAAACCCCGAAACATTAAAATAACACAGATTAAATAAACTAACTCATGCACGTTCATCTTCCCCGCTGCTGTAATGTTAGCAGTTTTACTAAAATGCTATGCATTTAGCCCTATGTGACGTCTGTTTTTATATTGTTTATCAACAGTATACATTTTTATATTGTTTGGATTAACTAGCGGAGTAGACAGATATGAATGTTTATTAACCATACTGAAAATAAGTAAATATTGTTAGCTGATGCTAACTGTCTAGCTAACAAGGTTGCTGGTGCTAAATTTAGGTAATTTTTAGATATAAAGTCCAAATATTTTTATTGAACCACCTAGATAGATTACATCTGGGGGAAAAAGAAAGAATGTGATGTTCAGAACATGGTAACTACATCAAAGTGGGAAGTGATGCCGTCTGGGGGCATTTGGCCAGGGGTGTTTTTACACCACAGACAAGGTTTGAGAAGAAAAAATTATGAAAATATAATTATATTTTCCTTAAAATGTTCTTCCTAACTTCAGGCCTTATTCTCATGTCATATATAACTGTGATGTTCTGCAAAACAACAAGCTTTAAAACACTTTTTTCTTACTGGTGAAAATCAGATGGTCAAATCTGTTTTCTCTCAGGTACATCGCAGTGTAAGCTTCATAGTGAACATTACTACATCACTCTCATCAACGTAGTCCATATCAACAACAACAATATATCTTGACTCCATATAGTGGTTATTTTGGGAAAATCCCAGGTATTTTGAGCAGTTAGGCATGGGCCGATAACCGGTTTCAAGGTTTACCGCGATTTGAAAATGTCACGGTTTCAAAACCACTAATTTTTTCCATTATACCATTCCTGAGGTATGCGCTGTTTTTCATGTCTTCTTAAAGACTGAAAGTGTAGGAATCTTGGGAGGAGGACGATTTAATGTTAATAAAATTAACAATTCATTTCAGTTCATGTCTCAGAATGTGCATTTTTTGTTTGTAATTTCACATTTGTAATACCATAACGTGAAAGCGCCGCTTTTCTATTGCGAATGTGCCGAATCTGCTGTTGTAATTACAACCGCTAATGCTAGAGAAGGGTAGGGGGAGGCCGGGGGAGCGCTGAGCTCTCGTGCCTCCGTTGGTAAAAAAAAATTTGCCAATCACCATCGAGTGTTCACTTTCAGCGCTGAGGAGTGTTGAGAAAAGAACCCTTGCAAGGGAGGCT